GCGAACTCCCTCCTCCTCTCCCTCCGCCGCCGCCAGGGGACGCTGCCGGGCTAAGCCCGGAGGCCGACGGCGGTGGCAGGGGATCTTCTCTCTCACGCGTTTCCGGGGTGGTGCGGAGCCCCTAGGCGTGTGGTGGCGCGGCCGATCTGGGTTCTGCGGGGCGGCGGATGGCTGCGGCAGGTGGCGGGTGGCCGGCCTGTCCTCGGACGGCGGCGGCTAGGTGCGGCAGGCGCCCAGTCACGGAGGGCGGCGTGGGCTGCGGGCACAGTGGCCGACCTTTTCGGGTGGCGTTGGCGGCCAGCTAGGCTGCGGTGGCGTGCAATCCACCTTCAGATCGGCGGCGGCGGCGGCGTGAAGGGCCTGGTGGTCTCGTCGGCGGCACCTCCGGTTAGATCTGTTCTAACCGGTGCGCCGGCGGTGGTGGTCATCTCTTCCGTCAGAGGTGGTCGGCCTGAGGCTGGGCGTTCGGATCTCCGGATTCGTCATCCAGTGCTGGCTGCTAGTCGGGAAGACATAGTTGCTGGTGAAAATTGAGCCCACGGCGGGCGATGGCGGTGTTTTGTGTCGTTACCTTGATGAAGGCATTGTCGTGTGACTTATGTCGACCCACTCGTACTGCTGTAGGGGAAACCCTAGGATCTGGTCTTCCAGATCGGATGATGGCGGCACTGCGATGTCGTTTCTCTCTTGGGAGCATCGTTTGTGGAGCAGCGCTGGAAGTCAGAGGCAGGAGGTGGAGCGGCTTCATCTTGCACGGAGTTTTGGTGGAGATGTCAAGTCATGCCTGGCTGACAGGTGCTACGCACGACAGATCTTCCAGAGACTTCAAGCTGTGTCGGCTGGTGGTACTTGGCGGCATGGTGTTGAGGTGTACCGGCGGCGACCGCGACGTGCTCAGCAGTTCGTGCGCAGGGAGGTGGTGCCGTTGGGCGCCGTGGTGGCGTCGACGGGAGCTAGACCGGGCAAGGATGATGCATCAGTACAGCTCTGAAGATGGAGTGGTGGCAGTTGGCGGCGGCGGCCTCTGAGAGCGCAGCGGACCGGTGTGTGCCCCATACCCGGCAAGTGCCTTCGTTGGGGCCTCAGGTCTTAGATGTTAGGCTTGGCTGCGAGGTCTGTGGTATTAGGCCCGGACTATGAGTATCCCTTCATCAGTTGGATAGGAGTAGGGACAGTTGTCGTCTAGACGGTGGCTTCATACTTAATGTTGTATTTCTTTGTAAGGTCTTTTGTGAATAATTAATAAAGGATGCCGATAACGCCCACACGTGTGGGCGTTAAGAGATCTGCCCACACGTTTTGTGTGGTGTCTAAGAGGACCAGCCCACACGCCTACGTGTGGGCAAAACAACTAGTGCCCACACACATATTTTTTTCCTCGCGGTCCCTCTCACACGCCTACGTGTGGGCAAAATGGATAACGCCCACACGACCTCTCTCAGCCACCTACCTCACGGTCCCGCACGCCCCACGTGACAGTCACCACGCGTCCCGGCAGTTGCCATGGTCCGGACCCTCTTCAATGTCCGTTTAACTGCAGTTGCCATGTCGCTGAACTACAGTTGCCATGTCGCTGAACTGCAGTCTTTCAAAACTTTAGGAGTTGCCACCTACTAACACTAGGCATTTGCCATGTATGGTCTGGTCTACTGCAGTTGTCATGATTTCAAAACTTTAGGAGTTGCCACCTACTAACACTGGCAGTTGCCATGTAGCACTACAAAAAAGGCATGGCAAAAAAACATGTTCGGGTAAAAGAGAGAGTTGCCATGTACTCACAAGCACGCTAGGGCAGTTGCCATGTAAAAGAAAGAGTTGCCATCTGCTTACGTGCACGCTAGGGCAGTTGCCATGTACCATGCAAAAACACATGGCAACTCGGGTAAAAGAGAGAGTTGCCATCTGCTTACAAGCAAAGCTAGGGCAGTTGCCATGTACCCTGCAGAAACACATGGCAACTGACAGCTTTGGGTGTGGGCGAGGAGACGGGCGTGTAGGCGAATGATAAACGCCCACACACCAGCCCCTCTGCGTGCGTGAAAACTGGTGGCGAATTGCTAAACGCCCACACACCAGCCCCCCGTGTGGTGAAAAAGGACGTGTGGGCGACCGGATGAATGCCCACACACCAGCCCAGTCCTACGTGGCACACAAAAACTGCTAGAACGCGCCAAGATTCGTGCAGAATTGGTTGGACGAGGATCCATGCGTGTGGGCGAGTTGCCAGACGCCCACACGTGTGGGCGTTAGTCTTTCCGTTAATAAAATGGCTGCATGCATCGCTCAGATGCAGAGGTCGGGGGTGATCCTCCTTCTCTAAAAAAACAAACACAAAAAGTTGGTACAAAGGTATGCAGGCAAATCAAGCCTTGCCACATTATTTACTGGCTGTAGAAGCCTAGAAAAGAAACATAACAGAAGCCTAATCTCTCATGGAGATTCTCTCAGCCAGTGATGATAGTCTTGAAGCCATCTTTCTGCCTTCCCTTGATACCGGTAGTCACTATCTGAAGATCATGAGTACCCCCCACAAGACATCCATTTCGTTCATGCTTTTTTTTAGAAAAGGAGGATTACCCCCGGCCTCTGCATCTGGACGATGCATGCATCCATTTTATTAATTATTCTCAAAGACCTTACAAAGCACTACATCGGTAATCCTGAAGCCACCATCTAGGCGTCTAGGCGACACCTGTCGCTACTCCTATCCCCTTGATCTAGGGGTGCCGAATGTTCGAGCCTAATACCAAACAGACATCGCACCAAAACCTAACATCTAATGCCGGATGCCCCATCCCAGCCACATGTCGGGAATGGGTCACACACCGATCCGGCGCACTCACCGAGGCTACTGTCGCTGTCATCCACCTAACCATCTTCAGAGCAGGTACTGACGCAAAGACCTTGCCAGGTCAGCTGTCGACGCCACCATGGCGCCAGACAGCGCCACCGCCCTGCGCGAGGCCATCACGCCACGTCCAACGCCGGGACCCCGCTGCTCCATGCCGCTGAGACCCGCCGTCGTCGACGCAAGAGAAGGCATGCCACACCACCTCACGCCTCTTCCATCCGGCGCCGCTCCACAAATGATGCCCCCAAGAGGGAACACTACAGCGCCGCCATCGTCCGATCCGGTGATCTTAGGATTTCTCCCGGAGCGGCACAAGCAGGTTGACCATAGTTGCTTTATGATGCCTTCATCAAGGTAATGACGTAGACGCCGCCATCGCCCGCCATGACCGGAGTCGGCTCGGTTTTCACCGGTGACTATGTCTCCCCAACTCGCCGCCGATGCTAATAGTGGGATCCAAGATCTGTCACTACCACCTGGCCAACCGCGGCCTTCGGTGGAGAAGGCAGCCACCACCATCATGCCCGGGCCAAGAGACCCGGACGTCCTCGTGCCGCGAAGATTACCCAGGGGGGATCTCCTCTTGCCGTTGTCGAGACGAGGCGCAGCCGCAGTGGATCTCGATCTAAACCCCTCGGGCCCAGATCAGATCTCATCGCAGCCAAAATCTCATTCGCCAACGGCCGCCGGAGATCTCCTGGCCACCGCCAACCCACTGCGCACTGACGTTGGAGGAGGAGGGAGATGGACGCCGCTGCCCCCACGCGTTACCGCTGGCCGAGGACTGCGCCACCGCCACCGCCTCACCACAGGGGCTTCGCCCCTCGGCGTCCTCAGCGACGGCGGCGGTAGTGGGAGGCGATGGAGGGGGAGGGCTGAGGGCGGTGTGGATGGGGACTGCTCGGGGGCAGCGCGTCGCCGCTGCCTCGGGGGAGAGAGGTCGTTCATGCTATATTGTCCAAATCGTTAGGATGATTACAGTCTTCAAGTTTATTAGTTTTCCTTGTCACTCGCAGTTGTTTACCATCTAGGATAGATTTGAAGGCCTTTCTATTTACCTGGCATATTCAACAGTTTATGCAAATAACTCCTATTATTCTCCATTTGATACTGTTTATATTTGCTTCTTTTTTAGAATACCAAGGACAATTGGTGTAGCAATTCCAATGAAGGCAACCTTTTTCATAACGTATGTAATGGTTGATGGATGGGCTGGGGTAGCTGGTGAAATATTGAGATTGAAGCCATTGGTTATTTTCCACTTGAAAAACTTTTTCTTGGTCAAGACTGAGAAAGACAGAGACGAGGCGATGGACCCCGGAAGTATTGGTTTTGATTCAAATGAACCCCAAATACAGCTCTATTTCTTACTTGGTCTCGTCTATGCAGTGGTCACGCCGTTTTTGCTTCCATTCATATTGGTATTCTATGTGCTCGCATACGTGGTCTACCGCCATCAGGTAAGATCCGTTTGATAGTAAAGTATTTTCTAAGTATTTTGGAAATACTACAGTTTTTGAGATTACCATAGTTTTATTTACAATGAGCTGTTTGGTTGCCCCTAAAAACTGTGCTTTTAATACTGTAGTATTGGGCAAACTGCAGTTTTTTCTCTGCATAAAAAAAAGAACCCCAATCCTCTTTTTAAAAAACAGAGCTGCTGAGTGCTTAAACGCAACGGCTAAACAGCAAATTTACAGCGTTATGCGGCAACAGCCAAACAGGTTCTATGTATTGTGAATACTCCAAAATACTCTGTTTTGATAAAACTATGGTATCTCACACCTACATGCAAAATTACTGTAGTTTTTGATGTCTGCCATTCATGATATAAATTTTGATGTTCAATAAGAGAATACTTTGATAATTCTAACTAACTGTTTAAAACTATTTTTGAAGAAATTAGTCTTATTCAATCTTTGCCACTCCTGGGCATATGTTTGTTTTGTGCAAATAATAGTCAATCTTGGATTTACCGACCCAACTTGCTAGAGTTATTATGGAAAATCCATATGACCATAGAACTAATGGAATGGATATGCTGGCAATAGAGAGATACTTTGCTGCCATTACAAATTTCAGGAGCATTCCACTTGTTCCTGAACCAAACGCACCCTTAGAGCATGTACAATCTGCCCCCCCTCAAACGACCTAACTTGAGCTTACATTGTTTCAGATAATAAATGTGTACAATCAAGAATATGAGAGTGCGGCTGCATTTTGGCCAAGTGTCCATGGGCGTATAATCACAGCATTGATCGTATCACAGCTGCTTTTCCTTGGATTATTAAGCACAAAAGGCGCAGGCCAGTCAACACCAGTGCTCCTTGTTCTTCCTGTGGTGACCTTTTATTTCCACAAATACTGCAAGAACCGCTATGAACCTGCTTTTGTGGAATATCCATTACAGGTACTGCTATTTCTGAATATGATAGTTCACTGTGCATCTCAGATCTGTGCATCTCAGATGCTGATCAGGCTACATGTTAACAATAGGTCGTACCAGCTTAACCGATATTTGTAAAATTTCGGGTTTTGTACTGGAAGATGTTTCCACCACACCCAACTTAACCGATAACAAACTTGTAACATAAGTTGAATGAAAATATAGTTATCCATCGTAAGGTATTATACTACTAGTAGTTTTATGCACTGACCAAATCCATACTATGGACTTGGCTTTGTAACCGAAAAAACTACTAACATGTTAATTTTGTTTTCCAGGAGGCAATGAGGAAAGACACCCTAGAACGTGCGCGAGAGCCAGGGTTTGACCTGAAAACGTACCTGGCAAGTGCGTACATCCACCCGGTTTTCAAAGGCGACGATGACGATGAGAAATTCTCCATGATGGATGAAGCGGAGGCAGACCAGGTCCTTGTGGCAACGAAGCGGCAATCGAGACGGAACACCCCTGTCCCGAGCAGACACAACGGTTCAGAAGCACCTTCTCTGCCTGAAATTGTAAATGATCAGCGACTATGATAGAGAGTTTGGAAGTGTACATTGAGTAAAAAGCACAGTAATTCGTTTCGGTATTGCTTTTTCTTTTTGAGTTGCCGGTATTGCTTTGTCACAATAAGGAACAATGGCCAATGTTATATTATGTACATGGAAAAAGTTCAAGTTCTTTGGTCCTGTGTTTACACTTGAAGGATGTTTGAATGCGTGTCTTGCGTTTATTCATCGCTGTGGGTTTATTGATCGCAAGACTTTCTGTGGGTTTATTGATCACAAGACTATTTCAGACTCTTACCATGGCATCTCCAAGGTGGACCCATAAACCTCCCGCAATGGTCCGGACCGCCGAAGCCATCCAACGCTGATATGTATCGGTTCGCGGAGCGGTCTGGATGCGATTTCTCTCCTATAATCTGGAGACAAAAGCAAGGAAGGTTTGCGCGAGTCCGGACTGCTCCCAACCCCGCTTCTGACCCTGGCTCGCCAAAAACCGTCACCTGCCCTTCCTGCGTTTTCCTTCTGATGCACACGCCGTATTCATATCGGCCCAGAGCACGCGGACGCTAACATTGATGCCGTGATGTGACCATAGGGAGGAAGGGCGGCGCTAACCGACGCGACCTCTCGGCAGCCGCCGCTTCAATGCGGATGCAGTTTCCCGAGGAAGCAATTCCGTTCGCTGCACCACATTGAAGCGGCTGGCCGGCCCTTCGCATGGCTTGGCCGTGGCTATTTAAGCCGCGCTTCGGCACCGTCCACATCGCATCCTCCTCCCTCCTCGTCCTTCCTCCTCGACGCACCCCCTCCACATCTTCGGCGATTGGCAAGTCCTGGGCGTCGGCGCTCGTAGGCGGTTCTAGGGTGGGATCTGGCGGCTCGTGGAGACGCTGCCCTCGGACTCCGAGGCCGTCGTCCTCGTCAGCTGGCGGCGAATTGACGCGGGCGGAGATCGTCATCTTCGCGGGCGACGAGAAGGACCAGCAGTCGTCACCGCCGCCGCAGTCCGCGCCAGCGGTGTCGGGCCAGGTCTACGCGGGCACCGACGCGGAGTTCGAGGAGCAGATGGAGCTGACGCTCCATCGCTCCATCGTCCACACCAACGGCCCGGCTCCGCCATGGGGGCGCTCCTCCCTGTGAAGCCAGAGCCAGCATCCCCTCCACGCTCTCCGTCGCTGCGCAGCAGCGGCATCCAAATCGGACGCCGCATCAAGGAAGAGCGGCTCTCCCTGCCGCCCGGACGTGCCGTGAAGGTGGAGCGCCGCTCGCCGCCGCCTCTCCGCGTCGTCAAGGAGGAGCGCCGCTCGCCGGCGCCCCCGGCCCAAGGCACGCAAGCGCATTCTGCAGTACCTCTGCAGCGGCTCCTCCTCCTAGTCGTCGTCCCGGAGGGCCATGACGGCGCATGAGTGTGCTGACCGGGAGCAGCGTCGGTGGGACAGGTGCAATGCCACGTGCCAATCCCAGTTCACGGACTCCGACGTCCCGTTGCCACACGTCACAGCGGACCCAGACCCGATGTACGACTGGGCCCTGGACCGCTCCGTGACGACGTCGGAGACGGCAAGGCGCCGTCTCCGCCACCTTGACCGGGAGATGGACAGGTACGGCGAGGAATTGTCCCTCCCCTAGCCCACGTGCTCGGTGGCCGCGCCCGCACTACGCACGGCACAAGAGGAGGCGGAGAGGATCATCCACGAGCGTCAGGCGGCCGCCGGAAAGCCCTGCCGCGGCGCCACCACCTTCCGCCATCCCAAGCCCGATGACGACGACTCTGACGGTGGGTCGGGCGATGATGACAGAGGAAGAGCAGCTGGCTAGCCCGACATTGGCTACGAGGTCACCGTGAAGTATAGGATAGTTTAGGGTTTTAGTTTTAGGTTTTTAGTTCACCGGACGAAATATCATTCGATTTTATGTTCAATTTATCCTACTTTCAATGAAATTCGCTGTATTTATATCAAAATTTCCCGTGTTTGCATCTGTATACGTGGACTGGTCCTCCTTCCGCGGACGGATGCAGGAGGTTTTTTACGGGTTGCCATTGGAGATGCCCATAGAGCATCTACAACCGCGATGGGCAAATCCGACCCCTCAAATGCCCGGACGTGCCCGGGCGCATCCGCAGGCACTGACCAAGCACGCCCTATAATTTGTCTTCCACACTTGCATCCCTCATATCATGATGAGGACATCACTACCACAGTTACACCCACAGCCCCTGCTGTTACTTACATGGGACCAATTACTAGAGCTCGCGCATGCCAATTAAATTACCAGGTACTTCCGTTTCTTGGTAACGATTCTAATGTTCATGAGAATATGATGCTGCCTAAATTGGATACATTTGTTTTGCTTACAAATGAAGGGCCTAGCTTGGACAAGAAGGATGAACATTGGAGCATGACCAAGCATGGAGATGATGGCATTCACAAGGGGAACAAGAACGGAGTTTCTGGTGGAGTTTTTAGCATTTGGGAGTCACCATGATGACGTACAAGGACATGGATGAAATATACAAGATGCCCTTTCATAAATTTCATCCATAGTGAAAATGCAACTAATCCCCGGGTGGTTTTGGTAATTCATAACAACATATATCTCATTAAACTAATATCCATTCAAGTTAAAGATTTCAGGAAGTTCAATGATTGGCATGGCAAAGACTAGTGATTGTGGATCCCTCAAAATGCTAAGGACATGGATTGGCAAAAGCTCAAGACTCTACATTTTTGGTTAAGTGATCCAAGATCACATTGACTCCATAGGAAAGCCCATACTATTAAAAGGGGATGAGGTTTATAATGATTTATTTGCTCAAGTGCTTAGTGACACTGCTCAAAAACCCTCAAACCACTTTCTCTATCCAAATCTGTCCAAAATCCTACATTCCAACCCGGTCCCACCAAAACATACCAATTCGGACCCACCTAGTTCATATGGACACTGCCACAGCCAAACCTAACAAAACTGATCCACTGATATGGATCTCGGTCTCATCGAGCTGGCCTTGCCAACTCTCTGTTGCCTATTGCAATTATTTTGGTCTTACCGAGTTTTACAATCGGTGCCATCGAGATGGCTTGCCAACTTTCTGTTGCCTCATTGCTTCACTTCGGTCCTACCGAGCTGATGCAATCAGTGCCACTGAAACGACGTTTGCCTTTACCATTGCACATCGGTCGCTCCGAGATGTTTCCAGTCGGTCCCACTGAGACCTCCAACGTTCATATCTTTTACACAGGTCGGTGCCACCGAGATTTCTGATTGGTGCTACCGAGTTGAGTCAAAAGTGTGTAACAGTTGGATTTCATGTGGAGGCTATATATACCCCTCCACCCCCTCTTACTCAGAAAGAGATCCATCAGAACGTGCCTACACTTCCACTACTCATGTTCTGAGAGAGAACCACCTACTCATGTGTTGAGATCAAGAGATTCCATTCCTACCATTTGAACCTTGATTTCTAGCCTTCCCGAAGTTGCTTTCCACTCAAATCCTTCTTCCACCATAGCCAATTCTATGAGAGAGAGTTGAGCATTGGGAATACTATCATTTGAAGCACAAGAGCAAGGAGTTCATCATCATCACACCGTCTATTACCTTTTGGAGAGTGGTGTCTCCTAGATTGGTTAGGTGTCGCTTGGGAGCCTCCGACATGATGTGGAGTTGAACCAAGAAGTTTGTAAGGGCAAGGAGATCACCTACTTCCTGAAGATCTACTCAAGTGAGGCAAGTCCTTCATGTATGTTGGCTATGGTGGGATAAACAACGTTTCTTCTTTGTGGACCCTTCGTGGGTGGAGCCCTCCGTGGACCCGCGCAACCGTTACTCTTTGTGGGTTGAAGTCTCCATCAACGTGAACGTATGATAGCACCACCTATTGGAACCACGCCAAAAATCACCGTGTACCCATTGCGTTTGCCCTCTCCAAACCCCTCCTTACTTAAACGTGCAATGTCTTACTTACACTGCTATACTCTTGATACGTCTCCGTCGTATCTACTTTTCCAAACACTTTTGCCCTTGTTTTGGACTCTAACTAGTATGATTTGAATGAAACTAACCCGGACTGACGATGTTTTCAGCAGAATTGCCATGATGTTGTTTTATGTGCAGAAAACAAAAGTTCTCGGAATGACCTGAAACTCCACGGAATATCTTAGAATAAATAATAAACAATCCTCACCAAAGATGAAGACCAGAGGGCCCACACCTTGTCCACGAGGGTGGGGGGCACGCCCCCCCTCATGGGCGCGCCCCCTACCTCGTGGGCCCCCTGGTGGCCCTCCGACGCCAACTCCAAATCCATATATTGGCTTTCGGGGAGACAAAAACCAGAGAGAAGAAATCATCGCGTTTTACGATACGGAGCCGCCGCCAAGCCCTAATCTCTCTCGGGAGGGCTGATCTGGAGTCCGTTCGGGGCTCCGGAGAGGGGGATTCGTCGCCGTCGTCATCATCAACCATCCTCCATCACCAATTTCATGATGCTCACCGCCGTGCGTGAGTAATTCCATCGTAGGCTTGCTGGACGGTGATGGGTTGGATGAGATTTATCATGTAATCGAGTTAGTTTTGTTAGGGTTTGATCCCTACTATCCACTATGTTCTGAGATTGATGTTGCTATGACTTTGCTATGCTTAATGCTTGTCACTAGGGCCCGAGTGCCATGATTTCAGATGTGAACCTATTATGTTTTCATGAATATATGTGAGTTCTTGATCCTATCTTGCAAGTCTATAGTCACCTACTATGTGTTATGATCCGGCAACCCCGAAGTGACAATAACCGGGACCACTCCCGGTGATGACCATAGTTTGAGGAGTTCATGTATTCACTATGTGCTAATGCTTTGTTCCGGTTCTCTATTAAAAGGAGGCCTTAATATCCCTTAGTTTCCAATAGGACCCCGCTGCCACGGGAGGGTAGGACAAAAGATGTCATGCAATTTCTTTTCCATAAGCACGTATGACTATATACGGAATACATGCCTACATTACATTGATGAATTGGAGCTAGTTCTGTG